CCCTAGGGAGGGGGATTTCAAGACTATGGGGCATATTTTAAGGTGAGAGTAGAGAGATTTAAAAAAAGACATGGGAGCAACATTTTTTCAACACAAGGTGGTTTGTGTGTGAAATGAACTTCCTGAGGACGTAGTTGATGTGGGTACAATTACAATAGGAAAGTTTTGGAGGGATATGGGTCAGGAGCAGGCAGGTGGGGCTAGTTTAGTTTGGGATTATGTTCGGCATGGACTGGTTGAACCGAAGGGTCTGTTTCCGTGCTCTATGGCTCTGTGAGTCACAATGCACTTGGCACGTATTCTTCTTCTGTTTCATTTAAAGACACCAATCATTTAGTTGAACAATGACATGGAGCCTTTATTCAAAGAGAAGATGATATGGAGACAAGAGTAACTCCTTTATTCATTCATGGGATGAGGTCATCACTGGCCAGGACAGCATTCATTTTCCATCCCTAATTGCCCAGAGGACAGTTCAGAGTCAACCACATTGCTGTGGGTCTAGAGTCACATGTAGGCCAGACCAGGTAAGGGTGGCAGTTTCTTTCTCGAAAGGACACTAGTGAACCAGATGGGTTTTTCCTGACAATCGACATTGAATTCATGGTCATCGTTCGATTCTTAATTCCAGAATTTTTTTTATTGAGTTCAAGTTCCACCATCTGCTGTGGTAGAATTGGAACCTCGGTCCCCGGAACATTATCTGGGTCTCTGGCTTAACAGTCCAGTGATAATACCACTAGGCCATCGCCTCCCCAACTGGTAGGTTCTTTCGAGCTAACATGTTCTGGCTATTGAATATTTTGCACCATAGATCACATCAGATAGTGTTGGACAACAATTTGAGATATGCCCCCTTCAAGGTGCAGCACGGCACATTAGGTCTCAAATTGTTCATAGATTGGATCCAAAGTGTTATTTTTCCTGGAAGAAATCTACTTTGTTTTTGAAACTTACTTGTGGAATGTGTGTGTTATTGGCTGGGGCTAGCATATATGGCCCAGAGGGCAGTTTAGACTGAATAACATTTGTCATGGGTCTGGAGTCACATGTAGGTCAGACCAGGTAAGGATGGCAGATTTCCTTCACTAAAGGAGTGAACTAACTGACAGTGGTCACAAGTCGTGTGGACTTTTTGCTTTGCTCCACATTCTCTTTAAATTGAAGTGAGGGTTCACTATCTGCCAGAGTGGGATTTGAACCCACGTCACCAGAGGCTTACTAGTCCAGGGACATTACCATTACACCACCATCTCCTCTGAATGAATAAACACTAACAAGTTCTACTGTATCCCTAGGCAGCCTGTTCCACAGACTGACCACACACTCACTGAAATATTGGTTTTGCCATTTATTTTTAAACTTAACCCATCTTAAGCATGTCTGTTTTTATAATGGGATAACAAGGTGCAGAGCTGGATGAACACAGCAGGCCAAGCAGCATCATAGGAGCAGGAAGGCTGACATGTCGGGCCTAGACCCTTCATCAGATGAAGGGCCTGAGGTGTTCATCCAGCTCTGCACCTTGTTGTCTCAGAATTTCCAGCATCTGCAGTTCCTGCTACCTCTTTATAATGGGCTATGTGACCACACCCCCTCCTCTATATGGAGGAACCAGGAGGCTCCCTCTAATATACAACACTCACATAGAATCTCTACAGTGTGTAAATAGGCCATTCAGCCCATCACTTCTGCAACAACTCTCGGAACAGCATCCCATCCTGACCCAGGGCCCCTACCCCTGCATTTCCCATGGCTAATCCACCTAACCTACGCATCCCTGGATACAATGAGTAATTTCCCATGGCCAATCCACCTAGCCCGCACATCTTTAGACTGTGGGAGGAAACCAGAGCACCCGGAGGAAACGCACGCAGACACAAGGAGAATGTGTAAACGCTACACAGACAGCCATACAGTCATGGACTCATAGACTTGTACAGCACGGAAACAGACCCTTCGGTCCAACTCATCTGTGCTGACCAGATATCCTAACTTAATCTAGTCCCATCTGCCAGCATTTGGCCCATATCCCTTTAAACCCTTCCTATTCATATACCCATCCAGATGCCTTTGAAATGGTGTAAATGTATCAGCCTCCATTAATTCCTCTGGCAGCTCATTCCATAGAGAGGCGAAAGATTTCAAAGCCACTACCCTCTGTATGAAAAATTTGCCCCTTCAGGTCCTTTTTAAATCTTTCCCCGCTCACCCTAAACCTAAGTCCTCCAATTTTGGACTCCCCTCCCTTGGCTATTCACCCTATCCACGCCCCTCAGGATTTTATAGACCTCTATAAGGTCACTGCTCAGCCTCCGACGTTCCAAGAGAGGGAAGAAAAAAAGCCGAGGCTGGAATCAAACCCCGGGTCCCTGGCGCTGTGAGGCAGCAGTGCTAACCACTGAGCCACCGTGCTGCCCTCTCCAACCCCATCTACACAGCACTGCCTCCCCCACCAACTCAGAACCGGAACGAGAGGGGAAGGATCAAGGGTATAATTAATCATGGAGTTTGCTCCCCATTGTCATCCAATGACCGTCTTCCCCACCATCCCCCAACCTTTGGAACATTTGTCACTGAGATGACAAAGACTCTTTCATTCGGACTCTCCAGAACATTCGTCGAAGCCATGGAAGCAGACCCCTCTTCCCCAATACTTAGAGATTTCAGAAAGACCCCTTTACCTCAAGCAGTGATTTCTGGACCATTATCTGGCTGTAGACACGGGCGCCCTCCTCTGGGCTCACCGACCGCAGTTCATCTTTCTGCAGGGAGAAGAGCTGGGCGCCAGTCAGAATCCCAAGAGAATTCACTGTCCTGAGGGAGAGCAAGAGAGACACAGATCTTAGAGCTTTGTAGAGATGGCACTCATTTCAATGACATGACTGTTAACCTCTCTCTGGGCAATTAGGGATGGGAAATAAATGCTGGACGCCCTCATCCCTTGAACAGATGAAATAAAAAATATCGGTTTTCTTTGTGTTTTGGAATGTCTGCTCCATGTTTCATGCTCTGGCTTCCAACTCCTTTGCATGTTTTTTCGCTGAGTCCCTACCAGGAGTAAAGAATGGAGCACAGCACACATCGTTTGTAAACGGATACACATAATCAAACATGGAATTATTGGTGTACAAAATGATCAGAGGTATAGATAGAGTGGACAGCCAGAGACTTTTTCCTAGGGTGGAGGTAGCTATTACGAGGGGGCATAGTTTTAAAGTGAGTGGAGGTAGATATAGGGGAGACGTCAGAGGTAGGTTCTTTACTTAGAGAGTGGTAGGAGCGTGGAATGCATTGCCGGAGAGGGTAGTGGAGTTGGCCTCATTAGGGGCATTTAAGCCACTATTAGATAGGCATATGGATGATAGTATAAGGTAGGGGTGGAGGTTAGATAGACCTTAGGTTTTAGGGTAAATGTTTGGCACAACATTGTGGGCCGAAGGGCCTGTACTGTGCTGTACTGTTCTATGTTCTATGTTCTATGACTGAACTTTACATGTTTTATCCCCCTTTCCAAAAGTGAGGGCCCTGCTAGATATTAAGCCATCCTAAACACGTCAAGTAGAAACACAGAAAGTAGGAGCAGGAGCAGGCCATTCAGCCCTTCGAGCCTGCTTGCTGTTCAATATGATCATGGTTGATCGACCAACTCAATCCCTTGTTCCTGCTTTTGTACCTTTGATCCCTTTAGCCATAAGAACTAGAGTTACAGTAAGAGGTCTACAGCCCAGCCAAAGACCCTTCAGCCCATCAAGTCTGTGCCAGTCAAATACAACCAGCCAACTATTCTAATCCCATTTTCCAGCACTTGGTCCCCAGCCTTGGTATGTCTTGGCATCGTAAGTGCACATCTAAATTCTTCTTAAATGTTATGAGGGTTTCTGTTTCTACCATGCTTACAGGCCGTGAGTTCCAGATTTCCATTACCATCCAAGTGAAATTTATTTCCTCACGTCTCCTCTAAATCTCCTGCCCCTTTCCTTGAGCTAATGCCTTCTGGTCATTGATCCTTTCACCATGGTGATGTCTAACCCCTTTTTGAAAACATTCAACGTTTTGACCTCAACCGCTTTCTGTGGCAGAGAATTCCACAGGCTCCCCACTTTCTGGGTGAAGACATTTCTCCCCATCTCAGTTCTAAATGGCCTACCCCATATCGCTAGAAGCAGGGAACATAGTTTCGGAAATAAGGCGTTTAAAGTGGAGTTGAGGAGAAATTTCATCTCTGAAAGGGTCACCTTTGGAATTCTCTCCCTCGGTGAGCAGAGAGCCTGTCGCTGGGTCAAAATCCTGGAATTCCCTCCCTAAGAGCATTGTGGGTCAACCCACAGTAGGTAGACTGCAGTGGTTCAAGAAGGCAGCTCACCACCATCTTCTCAAGGGGCAACTAGGGACAGGCAATAAATACAGGGCCCAGCCAGTGATGCCCACTTCCCACAAATGAATAAGAAAAGAAATACATACTCGAGGTTGGGTTTAGCAGAGTTTTTCAGTCAAGGTCCTGATGGAGGCAGGCAAATGGACTTGAAGCCATGATTGGATGAGCCGTGGACCTTGTTGAATGATGGACCAGGAGAAATGGGCCAAATGGCCAGCCTTCCTGCTCCTTTGTTTAACCTCATGTTGCCCCCACATTCTCACTGCAACCCACCTTCCCATGCCATGTGAATGTACTCCATGTTTACCCTGTCTGATGATTCTTGACCCAACTGTGTTCCCCAACTCCCTGCTACTACTTTCTTCAACACATTGACGAATTTTGGACCAGGTGTGTGGCTCAGATCAGCGTTCTGGAGATCAAACTTTAATTCTCATAGAGTCCAGCACCATCCATGAGAGCTGACCCACCTCGATTTAGACTTACATCTGAGAGAAGCCTTTGGCCTCCAGCCAAGTCTTGACTTCAGCTGGAGAGGAATTGTAGTCCAGAGGAACTGAGGTGTCAAGGGTCTTCTGGACCTGGAAGGACTTATGCTGTGCTGTTCTGCCGTTTGCAATCCTCAGTAACAATTCTTCATTCATGATGTTAATCTGGGCATTACGCTCTGAGGAAGGAACACCACAAAGTCGATTAGCACCTGGTTAGACAAAATTGGAAAGTATTGCTCCATGTGCTGGCCTATCTGCTTTTCCCATTAGACAAGACCAGATCCACACTCAACACCAAACTGCACTGTTCAACTGAGGTTACAGTTCCTGATCGTCACTACCTTTGCCATTCATTGAATCCACCACCACACTGAGTTGTTATGGGACAGAAGGCGGCCATTAGGCCCATTGTGTCCATACTATCTCTTTAATTGAACATCATTATCTAGTGCCAATCTCCTGTCTTCTTTCCCCCTTACCCTTCCCCATTGTTTTAATACAAACAATTACCCAATGCCCTCATAAATGCCTGTCCCTACCAAATTTCCAGGCAGTGCATCCTACACCCTAACTACGCGCTGGGCGAGAAAGTTTATTTCTCACATCGGCCCTGTTCCTTTTGCAAATCATCTGAAATCTGTGCCCTATTATTCTTGTTCCTTTTACAAACAGGGGCAGCTTCTCCCTATCTACTTGGTCCAGCCCAATCAGGATTTAGAATATCTCTGTCTAATCTCCTCTTAGCCTTGTTCTCTCCGAGGAGAATAACTCCAGTCTACGTCCATCACTGTGGTTTCTCATTCTTGTAAATGTGTACCATCTACAAAATGTACTTCAGCAACTTGTCAAGGCTCCTTACACAGACCCTTCCAAACCCACAACTTCTTTCATCCAGGAGGATAAGAGCACAGATGCATGTGAACACCATCACCTGCAAGATCCCCTCTAAGCTGTGCACCATCTGGAGTTAGAATTAAATCACTGCCTCTGCCCTGTCACTGGTTTAATATCCTGGGTATCACTCCCTAACAGCACAGAGAGTGAACTCATGGGCAGCAGTGGTCAAAGAAGGCAGTTTAGTAACACCTGCTCAAGGGGCAACTAGGGACGGGCAGTAAATGCTGGGCAATGCCTACATCCTCAAGGAAAGTGGAATGGAAACAGTAACTCATCGTGTGTTAATTTATAACCTGTATACTCCCTTTGGAATTCCAACTGGGAGGTTCGGATCCTTGAGCCCAGAGCCGTGAAATAGTGGACTTTGTCTTAAATTCTCTTTCTTTTTAATTTTTATTTAATTATACCATTGTTGAACGTCTGCTATTCTGAACTTCTTATTTCTTTTAGCTTTCTAATTTATTACTATGATTTTGAAGGGCTGTAATGTCGGACTTTTTGATTTCTACTTTTTTTTTCCTAAGAATTTGGACTTAATCTGTACCTAGGTATCTTGCACCTAGTGGTGACTTGTAAACTTTTCACTGTACTCATGTGCGGACGTGTGACAATAAAGCTAATTCTAATTCTTGATTTGATTTTGATTTATTGTTGTCGTGTGCACCTAAGTAAAGTGAAAAGTTTTGTTTTACATGCAATACAGGCAGATCATAGGATATCCAAGGGCATACAGACCACAGGGTGATGGAATAGCGAGTTATGGCTGTGCAGGAGGTGTACAAAATTCTAATTACACTCAGGAACACAGTGCGTGGTATTACATAAAGACAGGAGTGCTATTCCAAAAGACAAAAAAAGGCAGCAAAAACGAGGCAATAATGGTGTCATTCCAGGAGCGTTATGTCACTGACCTCTCTCTTTCTGAGTCACACCGACGTTCTCGGGGTTTGTGTCCCAGCCAACCTGCGCTGGGTTGTGTTGACTCACTCTTTTCGGGAGGGTCGGGGGTGGCGTGCCTTTCGGAGTTTGCCAGTTCCCCTGCAAAACACAAAGAAACCCTGAGTCCTGTGGTGCTGGAATGTTGGGGAGCCGGTGCTGAAATTCTCCCAGCGTTAGAACAAACGCACGGGACTGCTCGCAATTCACCAATCCTCCCAGGCTTTCCATTTCTTTTTTGTTTATTTTTCACGCTGGTTCCCATAAATAGAGAAGAAAGCAAGCGGTTGCATTCGAATAGCACCTTACATGGCCCTCGGGCAATGCTTTACAGCCAAAGAAATACCCTTGGAAGTGTAGCCACCGTTGCAGGTGGAAGAAACACCAACTTGAGCACAGCAAGATCCCGCAGTCAGCGATGATCAGTTTTCAGGGTTAAATGTTGTCCACTGCTTTGGTCTCTCACTCTTCTGCAAGTGGACATGCGCAATTGTTTTCTTCCAACTATTACTGGGCCTCTGTTTAACATTCCATTAAATAAAAATCCTCCTCAACAGCAGGCCCTCCTCCATACTGATAGAGCGATGTCAGCCTAGATTTTAGCCCCCAAAGTCCTGAGATGGGCCTCGAACCAAAACCTTTGAGTTCAGAGAGAAAATCATTGCTCACTGAACACAGGCAACATCAACAAAACTTCATCAAGTAGAGGACTGTGATGTATTGAAACCTGCAGTGTTCTGAGGAAGGTCACTTGACCTCAAACATTAACTGATTTCCCTCCCTAAACGCTGCCAGACCTGCTGAGCTTTTCCAGCAATTTCTGTTTTTGTTTCTGATTTCCAGCATTGGTAGTGTTTTCGGGTTTTATTTATGCATTTTGTCCACCTGAGGCTTTACACATGTACCAGCAGAGGGAGTCTGTGATGAACAGATATCAATCATGAACAGCTTGTGCAGTTCTAATTCAAAATATTTCCGGGTGAATATGTAACTTTGTCAGGCAATTCGGAAGGTTAGATGTAGCAAAAGAAAAGTCTAGAGGAGAGGGAAAGTGTGAAAACAAAGACAAAAATGATAGCAGAAAGATAGAGAAATGTCAAGGAATTTTTAATCGGACTAATTTCCAGATAATTGTCAGGATAAGAGCAGTTTTGAAAGGTCTGGCTGTAATATTTGCTACCTTGTGTATTTGAGCATATTGAGGTGAGCTGTTGACGACATCCTGTGCAGGGACAGGCTCCAGGATATTGAAGGGGACATAGCCAACCTGTCCACTCTGATTCTGCACCTTCCACCACCGTTTGGAATCATCCAGCACCTAGGGAGAGAAAATCTACATCAGACATAGAACGTCACCCCTTGCAAGTCCCCAGTCCCCACCCTGACTTGGAAATATATCGCCGTTCCTTCAGTGCCACTGGGTCAAAAATCCCAGAATTCATAGAATCCCTACAGTGTGGAAACAGGGCCTTTGGCCCAACAAGTCCACATGGAACCTCAGAGCATCCCACCCAGACCCATCCACCTAATCTTCACATCCCTGAACACTATGGGCAATTTAGCATGGCCAATCTACCCTAACCTGCACAGCTTTGGACTGTGGGAGGAAACCGGAGCACCTGGAGGAAACACACGCAGACACAGGGAGAATGTGCAAACTCCACACAGACAGTCACCCGAAGGTGGAATGGAACTCGGGTCCCTGGTGCTGTGAGGCAGCAGTGCTAACCACTGTGCCATTGTGCCACCCCATGGGCCATACCCCACTAATTCCCTCCCTAACAGCACTGTAGGTCTGCCTACTGCACACACGATTGAAGAAGGCAGATCACCACCACTTTCTCAATGGCAATTAAGGATGGGCTATAGCGCTGGCCTAGCCATTGGTGCCCAAGCTGCAGAAGTGAGTGCGATGTTCTATAGCGAACAAACCAGCTAGTCATCAGAGGGAAGACTTTACCAGCCTGCTCTGTGATACAGCACCAATGAATCACCAAGCTCACTTCCAACGATGGTAGCTAACAGGAGTAGGCCACTCAGCCCTTTCAGCCTGCTCACCCATACAACCTGGACTGGGCTGACTTGCACCTCAACATATTCCCCTGCCACCTAGTGCCACATTAAAGTGTCACGGCATGATTCCTTCAATCGTCCACTAATTATAATTTTATTCGATCCAAGGGTTCGAATCCTACTGCGGCAAATGACGGAATTTAAATTCAATAAAAATCTGGAATTAAAAGTCTAATGATGACCATGAATCCCTACAGTGTGGAAACAGTTCCTTTGGCCCAACAAGTCCACACTGACCCTTGGAGCATCCCACCCAGACCCATCCCCGGATAACCCATCTAAGCTACACATCCCTGAACATTATGGGCAATTTAGCATGGCCAATCCACCCTAACCTGCACATCTTTGGACTGTGGGAGGAAACCCACTCAGACATGGGGAGAATGTGAAAACTCCACACAGACAATGGCCCGAGGGTGGAATCAAACCCAGGTCCCTGGCGCTGTGGGGCAGCAGTGCTAACCACTGAGCCACTGTGTCGCCCCCGACAAGCCATTGCTGGTTGTTGGAAAAATCCATCTGAGTCACTAAAGTTCTTTAGGGAAGGAAACTGCTTTCCTTACCTAGTCTGGCCTATGCATGAATTCCCATGTCACAGCAATGTAGTTGACTCTTAAATGCCCTCTAGGCAATTAAGGATGCGCACTAAGTGCTGGCCTATCCACTGATGCCCTCATTCTCATGAATGAATAAAGTATGCTCCCCCCGACTTCATCAAGTTTCTCAGTCAATGAGCTCAGTAAGCAGAGGTCAATTCAAAATCTGACCCAGGTTATTCATCTCTGAGTCTATTGCATTGTCAACCCTGCTTATTCCTGTTAATTTGGATTTAAAATTCCTTTGTTGGTTTTACTTCCATCTCTCCTGAAAGTCCCACCTCTTTAAGGGTCATGGTCCCACAGCGGCTGGAAGCTCTCCAACCCCAGAGATCACTTTCCCTTGTTTCGAAAAGAACACAAGAACACAAGAACTAGGAGCAGGAGTAGGCCGTCTGGCCCTTCGAGCCTGCTCCGCCATTCAATAAAATCATGGCTGATCCTTTCGTGGACTCAGATCCACTTACCCGCGTTCTCACCGTATCCCTTAATTCCTTTATTGTTAAAAAAAGATCTACTTTTTTTTAAAAAACATTTACTGAAGTAGCGTCAACTACTTCACTGGGCAAGGAATTCCATAGATTAACAACCCTCTGGGTGAAGAAATTCCTTCTCAGTTCAGTCCTAAATCTGCTCCCTCTAATCTTGAGGCTATGCCCTCTTGTCCTAGCTTCACCTGCTAGTGGAAACATCCTCTCTACTTCTATCTTGTCTATTCCCTTCATAATTTTATATGTTTCTATAAGATCCCCCCTCAATTTTCTGAATTCCAATGAATATAATCCCAATCTACTCAGTCTATCCTCATAAGCCAACCCCCTCAACTCCGGAATCAACCTAGTGAACCTCCTTTGCACCCCCTCCAGTGCCAGTACATCCTTTCTCAAGTAAGGAGACCAAAACTGCACACAGTACTCCAGGTGTGGCCTCACCAGCACCTTGTACAGCTGCAACATAACCTCTCTGCTTTTTATTTCAATCCCTTTAGCAATGAAGGACAAAATTCCATTTGCCTTCCTAATTACTTGTTGTACCTGCAGACCTACCTTCTGCGATTCATGCACAAGGACACCCAGGTCCCTCTGCGTAGCAGCATGCTGCAACTTTTTACCATTAAGAGAAAAAGAGAAACTTTGCTTGCTGAAGCTTTTCCTCTTGCATTGATCAGGACAGATGCAAGAGTGCCAAGTTGCAAACGATCACCACTACGGGAGAAAAGGAAGCTTTTAGATTATCAGGGCTGTCTCTGAATTGCTGAGGAAATGTGATGGAGGAATCAACTGAGAATTACAGGCTCCCAAGCTGCTGTGTGATAGAGCACCAATGAATGACCAAACTCACTTCCAATGATGATAGATAACAGGAGTAAGCTCTTGAATAACTCAAGAAAACATGCAAGACTGGAATATATCCCTTTTATTTGCAGAGAATGGGCCCCTGTTTAGGACATATGTCACATAAGTGCAAACGAGCATGATTGTGAGCTCAATTGATTATCTAAAATTGGTTGTGTCTGTAACTATTCACACTCTCAGGATCATTCAGTAAAGTGACATCTAACAACCGGCAATTTATCCTGAGTTTTGTAAAGAAAATCCAAGTGACTATCAGACTCATTTCTTCCAATGCAATTATATAGTATAATTTATAAGGCATAGGACATAAACTTGGCTTGTATTGAGTCAAGTCTACAAGGTTGAGGGTGATCTAACCAAACTATCTGAAATGAGAAAAATTTTCTATGGGTGGAAATAAAGACATTTATTTCCCCTGATGAACAAAATCTAGGCATAACTTTAAACTTCATTTAGGAGCGAGATCAGGATGAATTCCCTCACGTGAATGTAGCATTGAAAATTGCATTGTGCACTATGTTCTTGTGAGGATACCCTATGCACTTGCACCAGCAGAGGGAGTCTACTAGGAAGCAATAGTAAAGTTTCTATCTTTAACAGCTTGTGTCTCTAGCTAAATAGATAAATGTCCAAAGAACTTCAGCAATATGGTATTGAAAATCGTGTGATTTATCCCGACTCCTAACAAAGCTTCATAGAATCCCTACAGTGCAGGAGGAGGCCATTCGGCCTATTGAGTCCATACCAATCCCCTGAAGAGCTTCCCACCCAGATCCAACCAGATACCCTATCCCTGTAACCCCACTGCTAATCTACCTAACCTGCACATCCCTGAACATCAGGACAATTTTCACAGGCCAATCCAACTAACCTGCACATCTTTGGACTGTGGGATGAAACCGGAGCACCCGGAGGAAACCCACGCAGACACGGGGAGAATGTGCAAACTCCACACAGACAGTTACCTGAGGGTGGAATCAAACCCAGGTCCCTGGCGCTGTGAGGCAGCCGTGCTAACCTTTCGCGTGCTAAAGCCTTTGAAGATTGAGATTGAGAGATTTTGTTGCTCATCAACAGATGTAGAGCAAAGGTGGGAAAATGGAGCTGGAACGGTGACTGGCTGTGGGTGATGAGGGTGGGCGAAGGCCAGAGGGGCTGAATGGCCCCCTTCTATCAGTCCCTTCCATTGGAAGGACTCAAATTAGGGAACTCACCTCCACCATTTCACCAGACAACACAGAGAGCTCGCTGCTGTTTCGGGCCACAAAGTCATAGCTGCATTTCATGTGTTTGGTCTCCACATTGTGAGTCCTGAAGGAAGAAGATTGACATTGTCAAGACTGTGTCTTTTTGTGTTTGTGCTTTTTAACGTCATGGACAGAAATGAGAGACAACCATGTATATTTTAAAACCTGACAATTGCTGCCCAGTTTGAAAGCAAGAAATTTGATCCTGACTGTGAATACTGTATCACTATGGGTTACAGTTGTGTCTGCAGATGAACTGGAGTCAAGTGGCTTTTTACAGATGGAGCATTGTTTTGCAAAAAAGAACTTAATTGGTCTATGCACTAGCCATTATGCGATTGATTCTCAGATTACTGAATGGCTTGGGTCTCGGAACAAGGTACAGACAGAAACAGAAGTTGCTGGAAAAGCTCAGCAGGTCTGGCAGCATCTGTGAAGAAAAAAAGTTCAGAGTTAACGGTAACTCAGTTCTGAGGAAGGGTCACCGGACCCAAAACGTTAACTTTGATTTTTTCTTCACAGAAGCTGCCAGGCCTGTTGAGCTTTTCCAGCAACTTCTGCCCTTTTGTTCCTGATTTACAGCATCCGCAGTTCTTTAGGTTTTTACATAGAGAAACTGTCAGGTCTTCAACCAGCTGTGAGCTCCTTCTCCATTCTCTGCAGTAAACCACTTATAAAGTGGAGAGAGTTCTGCTTATCAATATCCTGTAGGATTAGCAAAGATTTATAGCGGCCACATTAGGCTGAATACCTCGCAAACGGCCATATTTATTCAGCACTTGCTTGAAAGCTGTCCCTTTTAATGATGGGTCAGAGAACCTTTATAAGTGAACTAGCCATCCTGTGACTTTTGCAAAACAGTGGAAGCATTCGGAAAAGGTACGCTGAGAGGAAAAGCTCTGATCGTTGAGCAATAATTCACAATAGCTTGTGAACAAAGCCTGCTTTCTCAGCATGGGTTGTCTTGATTCTCATGAGTTGGTGGCATTGTTACCATGCTTCAGGGAGGCTTTGAGGATGCCCTTGAAGCTTTTCCTTGCCCTCCTAGCAACCTCTTGCCGTGCCGAGGCTCGGAGCTCGGAGTTTGCTCAGGGTCATATCTTATGCCAGGCATGTGGACAAGGTGGCAGCAGGAGGGGCAGGGGTTCTGGGCCATGGCTGTTGGCAGGGTTGGTGGAACCAGAGTCTGAAACATTACATCAACCATTAACAAGTGGAGTTGGCATTGTGGGAGGATTTCATTGGCCATTTGCGAGGTATTCTGCCTAATGAATCTTTGCTAATCCTACTGAGAAGCAGCACTGTCTCCACTTCAACACCAACCTACGTGCAAGCAACGCTTTGAGTGTTCCCCTTATTTGATGATAGAATTATCTCTTCCCTTCTTAGCTGTGCCTATAGCTGCGGTTTTCTTGGTCAGCAGAAGGGCGTGGATATTAGGCAGCTCCCACTTTGATTGAAGGCCACCCCTCCCAGCAGCACTTTTTTAAGAAAATCATGGATGTGGGCGTCGCTGGCTGGGCCCAGCATTTATTGCCCATCCCCATTTGCCCCTTGAGAAGGTGGTGGTGAGCTGACTTTTAGAACCGCTGCAGTCAATGCACTGTGCGTTGACCCACAATGCCCTTAAGGAGGGAATTCCAGGATTTTGACCGAACAACAGTGAAGGAATAACGATATATTTCCAAGTGAGGATGGGGAGTGGCTTGGAGGGGAACTTGCAGGGGATGGTGTTCCCATGTATCTGCTGCCCTTCTCCTTTTAGGGGGTAAAGGTGGTGAGTTTGGAAGGTGTTCTCAAAGAAGACCTGTGTTCAAGCATTGGAAAGAGGCCTTTCAGTCCATCAAGTGGTCGTGGGTTTGGAAGATGCTGTCTAAGGAATCTTGGTGAATCCCATGATAGATGATACACAGTCCTGGTGTCGGTGGTGGAGGGAACGGACGCTGTGAATGTGACTGAGCTCCCTTTCATTGCACACGACCAGCTGCAGGCCTCTGGGACTGTTATGGTTCTGGTTGTCCTCCTGGGTCATGTTGGTGGTGGTGGTTGTGGTAGGGGTTGGCGGGGGTTGGGGGTGATGGTGGTGCTCGAGGATTTCATCCGTCAGATACTTGAGCACAGCAGCCAAAATAACCCTCTCTCTGGCCCCGGGCCCCTCAACAGAGCCACCCTTTCTCGGGGTCCTGTGAACACGGCCTAGCGGGAACCGCAAGCCTGTTCAGGAGCACTGAGATTTGAGTTTTCCCACTGCCTTTCCCTCAACCAGTCATCTCCACAAGCACTTTCACCAGATTGTTCCCTTTATAAATGTCATTCTTATCATCAGAGTACACTTGGAGACAGAAGCTCCTCAGGTCCTCTTGTAAAGTTAACAGTCGCTTGGCTGTTTCCAGCTGAGGTATTGAGCTAAAATGGCACTTACCCATTGCTTTGTTTGACAGGAGCTGACTGTGGGCCTGATTGCTGGAACAAAGCAGATGTAAGTTTAAAAAAAAAATCAATAAACATCAAGACTGAGCAAAACTGTACACTCCCAGCTGACCAGACAAATATCAGTCAAAAAGGCATGTGTCTCCATGTAATGTCCCTAACGTTTGGACTCTGGACTGTTTTGTCTGGATATTCAAACCACATATAAATTTACAAAAATTCTGGAAATCCAGAACGAAAACTGAGAAAATGCTGGAAATATCAGCAGGTCAGGCAACATCTTAATAGCGAGAAAGAGACTTTAATACTTTGAGCTGATTATGTCTCTTTGGATCTGAAGAGTTAAGACTCGAAATGTTAACACTGTTTCTGTCTCTGCAGATGTTGCCAAACCCTGCTGCATTTTATCAGGAACAAAAACTAAGTTGCTGGAAAAGCTCGGCAGGTCTGGCAGCATCTGTGAAGGAGAAAACAGAGTTAATATTTCGGGTCCAGAGACCCTTCCTCAGAACTCCTCTGAACCTCCCTCAGAATGCATTTTATCAGCGTTTTTTTGCTTTTCTGACATTTAATTTTGGTGCGTTGTAAAACAGAGAAATTGAGGTGAAGGCCTATTGGAAGAGGCCTTCAGCAAGTTTATAAAGAGTGAAGAAAAAAATGAGATAAGGTAGTGATCGGTGTAGTGATTGTATTGAAATCAGCCCAGCTGGATCTCATAGATTCTGAGTTCCCTGATTGGGGCTGTTAACCTGGTCCAATCAGGGAGGCCTGGCTGACATAAATGGGGAATGTCAGGGATATTGACCCAATGAACCAGAGGGCTATTATCAAAGGCAATGCATTTGTAAATGATGATTGGTGATGGGACGCCAGCCTTTTAATCAGGTGATGCCAAGGTTAGGTTTTGTTGCTATGGAGATAGTTAGAGTGAGAACAGGCAGGTGGGAGAGATTCAGTAGGCATGAGAATACTGCGGGAAAATATCATCAAGCTAGAAGGACAGCCATAATCTAGTTGAATGGCAGAGCAGACTTGATGGGCCAAATGGCCTACCTGTATTACTATTTTCTATGTTTCTATGATCTCACAATTCTCTCAGTGTACTCTGTACATGGAGAGAAAGTGGGAGTGGGATACTGAAATTACACCATCAGCACGGTCGCTGTGGTTAGCACTGCTGCCTCACAGCGCCAGGGACCCGGGTTCGATTCCAGCCTCAGGCAACTGTCGGTGTGGAGTTTGCACATTCTCCCCGTGTCTGTGTGGGTTTCCTCCGGGTGCTCCAGTTTCCATCCACAGTCGAAAGATGTGCAGGTTAGGTATGGGAATTACAGGGGTGGGAGTGGTAAGTCTGGGTAAGGTAGCTGTGAAACATTGACTTAAAAATGCAGGAACACACAAATGGTTGATTTCCAATGGCTATACTGCACAGAAATCTCTTCATATCTGCATAACCTAAGAGTCCTTGGTCCCTCAATGTCTCCCACCTGCCTGTTTTCACTCTAACTATCTCCAAAGCAACAAAACCCAACCTTAGCATCACCTGATTGAAAGGCTGGCATCCCATCACCAATCATCATTTACAAATGCATTGCCTTTGATAATAGCCCTCCGTTTCATTGGGTCAAGGGCTCAACATCCCTGACATTCAGCCATTTATGTCAGCCAGGCCTCCCTGATTGGACCAGGTTAACAGTCCCAATCAGGGAACTCAGATTCTATGGATCCAGCTGCGCTGATTTCATTACAATCACTACTTTATCTCATTTTATATCTTCACTCTCCCTTTATTGCAATCAATATTTGTCATGGCAGCACTTTCAATCCATTCTCAACCAAGCATGAATTTATTATTCGCCTTCTTATTTATTTGGTCCATCTCACCACCCCCTGACTTTGGGCTGGAGCTCTCATGGGCGCAGTGTGGTAGTACCACTGCCTCTAAGCTAGAAGGTCTGAGTTCAAGTCCTGTTCCAGGGCCTGAGACCTGAGGAAGGTACCTTTTTAATGTGGTCAAACTGTGTTCCAATGCATCCCAATGGCAGGCAGTGAGAGGAGGATTTATCCCCAGGGTAGGGGAGTTTGAAACTAGATGGCATAATTTTTAAGGTGAGGGGTGCAAGATTTAAAAGCGACCTGAGGGGCAACATTTTCACACAGAGAATGGTTCATACGTGGCATGAACTGCCAGAGGAAGTGGTAGACTCAAAAGAAGTTTGGACAGGTACATGGGCTGGAAAGGTTTGGAGGATATGGGCCAAATGCAACCAAATGGGACTAGTCTAGTTTGGGAAAGCTGGTTGGCATGGACAAGTTGGGCCGAAGGGTTTGTGTCCGTGCCATGTGACTCCATGACACTCAGTGAGATTCCCACAAAGAAACTGAAGCCTCTATGATCACTATCTGTGGTTCCGGGCTGCAATATGCAGGATTAAAATCCATGTTACCACGGCAACTGGGAATCCCTGCGTGAACTGTGATATACTCTTGCCTTAAGTGAGATCGAATGTACTTTTATATCACGTGGACACCTTTCGTGTTGAATGCCAGATGCACTTGGGAATCCACCAGTAATCTTTAAATCTCAGCTCATTTGACTGCGATATTATCCTCCTCTGCAGGTGCAAAGTTTGCACATGCTGGTCTGTTCCAGCAATAGCTTTTAGATTATTGTTAAAGTGAAATTATTAAATGTGGTCAGGTTCGTTATGGGGCACTGGAAAATACTTTTTTGAGCTCAGTACAAGCTCAGTTGAGCTTGATACTAACCACTTTGAGGTACACTACCACCGGACCCCACTTGGTGGCGGTGCTGAGCTTAAGGAAGGACCTCTGGTTTCTCAGTACCGCCACCTGTAGAGTATTACTGGAACTGTAGCCTTAAACAATGAACATCCCCTTTTCGAGTAAAAGGAACCTGCATTTACATCAGGTGTTCCCTATAAGTGCCTAACAGAGTAATGTGCACAACAGATAACCCCGAAAAGCTTTATTTCTGTGCAAACTTTAATATCTAAAAACAACTTGCATTTATATCCCAGCTATTGCGGTGCTCAGGACATCTCAAAGTGAGTTGAGGGTGAGCTATTATGAAGGGAACGTGGCATAAAATTTGCACACAGAAGGATCACTGAAATACTGCACAGAGGCCACTATCCCATCACTAAGTCACTGTTTATTTACTTGTGCGCAGTACACGAACTGTGGCCAGCCAGCTCGGAGTCAGTCCCCTGCACTGAAGACATTCGAAAATCTCCTGGTTATATTGGTCGGCCAGGGCTTTCACGATTGGCCCAGATTAACAACTCAAGTCAAGAACCTCACAGTTAATGAAGTCAACCTGGCTCCAATCACTACAGCCATGTTCGCAGCCATGACGTCAAGGGACAGGCACTCTGTTTTCCTTTAAATAATTGCAGGGTTAAAGGGATAGGGCAGGGTGTTGAATCTGGGTGAGATGCTGTTAATATGGTCGGTGTGGACTTGGTGGGCCGAATGGCCTGGTTCCACACTGTGAGGATTCTATGGTTCTTTCAAGGCTGAATAGGTGTGGCATGGTGGCTCAGTGGTTAGCACTGCTGCCTCACAGCGCCAGGGACCCGGGTTCAATTCCACCCTCAGGCAACTGTCTGTGTGGAGTTTGCACATTCTCCCTGTGTCTGCATGGATTTCCTTCCCCAGTCCAAAGATGTGCAGGTCAGGGTAGACTAGCCATGTTAAATTACCCATAGGGTCCAAGGATGTGAGACTAAATGGGTTGGCCATGGGAAATACAGGGTTACAGGGATTCATTAGGTGGCGTGGGTCTGAGTGAGATGCACTTCAGAGGGTTGGAGTGGACTTGGGATTATATTCTAGTTAACCATGTGATCACATATAGCCTCCTCAGAGGAAATATGAGGCCTCACTTATATATATACTGCCTGATGATGTAACTCTCCCTGAGCACTGACTCAGTTTAAATAGATATCTAAGTCTCTGACGTGGGCCTTGAACTCACAACTGTTTGAAACCCAAAAGGGCCAGCTGCTATGTGGGTTTTAAGTTGGCTGCATAATAACCAGCAAATGTGTTTGACCTGAAAAGTTTCTTGTATTTAATATTAATCAGATACTTTGTTAATTTATTTATAACAGGCCAGTTGCTAATTAGAAGCATAAATGTGGATGATGTAGATCAATATCAGTTAGAGCTCCTGGGGCTAAAGGATATGGGAGAGAAAGTGGGAACGGGGTGGGGGGATGCTGAGTTGGATGATCAGCCATGATCATATTGAATGACAGACCATGCTCAAAGGGCCGAATGGCCTACTCTTGGTCTTCTTTTCTGTGTTTCTCAGTTTCAGATCGCCACAGAGTATAGACCTTGAGGGGTCCTGAAGAGAAGCTGATCAAAGAAGATGGTTATAGGAAGGATCTTAAAGAAGGAGATTGAGATGGAGAGCTTTATGGGGCAGTTGCAGAGGCCCAGGTAATGGCAGCTGTGAGTGGTGAGGCAATGAGAGCCTTCATAGGGCTGGAGTTACCATGAGCAAGGAGGGTTACTCTCACCGTGAGCAAGGAGGGTTACTCTCACCACGTGCCCATCTCTGCTTCGGGAAATGGCCCGCCCAGTCACATGGAGGCCCACAGCAGGAGATTGTGACTCTGAGTAAGGACAGGCCAAATCTAGGGACACCTGGCAACCATTTCTTTCGCGTTTTGTGTTCACTCTGTCGCTCAATGATGTTCATCTTTCTTCACGTGGGTGGTTTAGAGGGGATCGGAGGAAAACCTTTCTCACCCAGAGGGTGGTGGGAGTTTGGAATGCACTGCCTGGGGAGGGGAGTTGAGGTGGGAAAATTCACAACCTTCAAAAAGTACTTGGATGTGCATTTGAAGTGTCATAACATTCAAGGCTATGGGACTAGCGCAGGGAAGTGGGACTAGTCCCACCTACTAATGGGACTTGTAGGCAGCAATATATTTTTGGCAGTGCACGCTCGATGAGCTGAAAGGCCTCTTCTGTCCTGTATGACTTTCCGATTAGTAGCACCGCATACCACCTGCTATTGTGGTACAATTTGGGCGTGGACAAAGATGGGTAGAAGGGCTGAGCAGAGAGATCATGCTTCCAGGGCTGAACTAGTACTGCAGACGGGAACCTTGCTCAGGCCCAGGAGTAGTCCCAGCAGATGGGTGCCTGACTGGCAGTCCCCTTCTCTCCCATTCCAAACTCTCCTTCAACCTGCTGCTTCATCGTGCTGGGTAACCCCTCTCTTCTGCCATGTCACCAGGCACACAGCGCCTACCTACCTGCATTCGTAGCAACTCGTGTTTGTGCTGCAGCTCCACAGGATCTTCCCACGGAGCTCCGTTGGGATCCAGATCATCTGGCTGCCACCCTGATCGGAACTGGATATGGTACGGCTCTCCCCAGTGCTCGGCAGGCCACTCCAATCTGGACAAAGCGGAAAAGGTCCAATTATTTTCTGCTGCCAAAACACAATGAAACTCCACCAGAAACGCAGTGGGTGAGGGCCTGGTGCTGGGCTACAAATCCCATTGTCACACTGATTGTATTGTTAAGGCCAAGAACTAAAAGAGGAAGGTTTTTTTCTTCTTTATTCATTCACGGGATGAGGGCATCACTGGTGAGGCAGCATTTATTACCCATCCCTAATTGCCACAGGGCAGTTAAGAGTCAACCACATTGCTTTGGGTCTGGAGTCACATGTAGGCCAGACCAGGTAAGGATGGTAGTTTCCTTCCTTAATGGACATTAGTGAACCAGATGGGTTTTTCCAATAATTGACAATGGATTCACAGTCATCATTAGACTTTCAGTTCCAGATATTTATTGAATTCAAATTCCACCATCTGCTGTGGCAGGATTCGAACCCAGCTCCCCAAAACACAATCTGTATCTCTGAATTAACAGGCCAGCGATAATACCTCTAGGCCATCAGCTCCCCAGTTATTGATTGAGTACCTGGAGTCCATATAAAGAGAGACTGCTGAGGTAGTGGGCAGAAGGCAGGTAAGTGTGATGGTGCATTTGGAAACATGCAGTGTAAGGATTTGGTAAGGTTAATGTCTGGAACATTGTGAGTAAGACCTCTCACTGATGGAGGAGATCACGTAAGGGACAGACGTGGAGAGAGAAACTTCATAAATTCGACAGAGTTAGTCACGCTTTTGTGAAGGTGTATCTGGTTGCTTCATGTGTAGAAGACTAGGTATTGTTCATACTGTAACTCTCAGTAATCCTTCCTTGTTAGACTCACCAAACGTACAAAACAAGTAAACAAAACTATCCCAGAAACAACTTGTGTCTAATTTCATTAAAACCTACACAATACTTGAAGGGATAGACAGTGTAGATGCGAATAAGATGATTCCCCCTGTATTTAGGAACTTGGATCCGGTTAACAAGAAGAAAGATGCCATTTAGAATCGAGATGTGGTAAAATTATTTTACTTTGCATTTGGAATTCTCTACCACAGAGGGCTGTGGAAGCTCACTATGTTTAAAGTAGAGATTGGTAGATTTCTGATAACCAGTGGTCACAGGTTCATGTGGATGGGATTATTCATAGAATCCCTACTGGGTGGAAGCAGGCTATTTGGCCCCTTGAGTCCACACTGATCCTCTGAAGAGCATCCCTCCCTGACCCAACGCCCTACTTGCATTTCTCATAGCTAATCCATCGAGCCTGCACATTGATGCACATTATGTGAAGTTTAGCATGGCCAATCCACCTAAAGTTCACATCTTTGGACTGTGGGAGGAAACAGGAGCACCTGGAGGAAACCCACGCAGACATGGGGAGAATATGCAAACTCCACACAGACAGTCGCCCGAGGGTGGAATCGAACTGGGGTACATGGCATCATGAGGCAGCAGTGCTAACCACTGAGCCACCATACTGTACATGGGTACAGTACATTGAAGTGTTCGATCAGCCATGATCATATTGAATGGCAAAGCAGCCTCGATGGGCTGAATAGCTTCCTCCTGTTCCTATCTTAGGATTTATTTATTGCGGAGTTTGCAATCTGTTTGCAGCTTCTACTCAATTATCTCAGTGCAACCGAGGCCACAGGTGGGAAAGGGGTAATGTTGTTAGTGGTGAGTAGGATGGTCCCTGCCAACTCCTTCTGATGTGTCTGGAGTCTTGGTCCTTTCTGTTTAATTCACTGACAAGATAAGGACGTCTCTGGTTAGACCAGCATTTATTGCCCAGAGGGCAGTTAAGAGTCAACCACATTGCTGTGAGGGGTCTGGAGTCACATGTAGGCCAGAGCGAGTAAGGATGGCAGTTTCCTTCCCTGAAGGGCATTAGTGAACCAGATGGGTTTTTCCAACAATGGTTTCATTATTAGACCCTTAATTCCAGATTCAGTTTTTCTCAAATTGCATTCAAATTCCACAATCTGCCATGGTTGGATATGAACCCAGGTTCCCAGAATATTTTTTATTATAGAATCCCTACACTGTGGAAACAGGCCCTTCGGCCCAACAAGTCCACACCGACCCTCAGAGATCCCACCCAGATCCATCCTTCTATAACCCACCTAATCTACATAAGCTGAGTTTCTGAATCGATAGTGCAGTGGTAATACAATCAGGCCATCGCCGCCGCTGCACACGCTGCCCGCAAGATGCCTTCAGTAATCTATGCTTCACATTCGGAAAGAGATACTGTGGTTTTTTTTTATTTGATGAGGCCGAGCAGGGGCAACTATGTGATGCAGGGATCGACACTCATTATGCTGTCCCCACAGGCTCACACCGAGATGAGCAATGACAGAGGCTGCCAGAGGACCATCAACTCAGCGAAAGACCCTCTTTTGTCTGGCCAGAACCTGCAGTGTCTCCAGTGCAAAGTGTCAGCCTTGGTGGGGGGGGGATGCAATTCAGAGGAGCAATGGAGAGAGGTCACTGTCTAAAGCTTGTTAGCAATGCCAAGCAAGGATTTGGAGCCCATGTAAAAGTCCCAGGGCTGTTTGTATCAGATCACTCACATTGTAAGCATTAGGAAGTACAATGAAGCAGTGCAGAGTATCATGTGCTACTTCGGTGTTGAAAACAATCGAACTGCATTTACACTTTCTCCTATGTCAAATGTAAACTGTTAGTTACTTTCACAGCTACGTTTTTATGAGCAAAGTACACTTTTTGACTCCGCCCAAAACCGAAACAAAGTTTTCCAAGTCTTTAGTCCATCAAAACATTTCACATTTCAAAATACGTTTCTAAGTCTTCCCCGATCTCGGGAAAAACTATCCCAGAATGCTAGACAAACAACAGGAAAGTGCCGGAGAAACTCAGCAGGACTTGCACCTCTGTGGGGAGAGAAATGGAGTTAATTTTTTTTTCTTTATTTGTTCGCAGGATGAGGGCATCGCTGGCTAGGCAGCATTTATTGCCATTCCCTAATTGCCCAGAGGCCAGTTCAGAGTCAGCCACATTGCTGTGGGTCTGGAGTCATGTGTAGGCCAGACCAGGTAAGGATGGCAGTTTCCTTCCCTAAAGGACATTAGTGAATCAGATGGGTTTTTCCTGACAATTGACAATTGACAATGGATTCACAGTCATCATTAGATTCTTAATTCCAGATATTTATTGAATTCAAATTCCACATCTGCCATGGTGGGATTCAAACCTGGGTCCCAGGATTAATGGTCCAGTGTTAATACCACTAGGCCATCACCTCCCCATCACTTCAAGTCCAGTGACCTCTTCATCAGAGTTTCTCCAGCAATTTCTGTTTTTGTTCCAGATTGTTAGCTCCTTCCTGCTGGTTTGAAAATCTCCAATCCTGCGACATCCCACTTCCCTACATCCCAGTTTCAGTTGGGAATCTGGAATGTTGGTTGAATGTGGGCACTAATGACAGGTGGTTCCTACCTGGATTTGGTCCAGTAGTCTCCCAACGATTGCCACTGTGCCTTCTCTGTCTGATTGAGTGTGCTGTTCAAGAGGTGGATGGCATCGTTGGTCAAGAATGGCATGACCACTGATCTAGCAACATCCACACCTGCTGTTTGCACCATCTGTGCAGGAAGAAAAGGATAACAACAACAGTCAAAAACCTTGGCTTCATTTTGCCAACAATTTGCCCATTTCTCCTCCCAGTACGATCTTCAAGACATACCAGGCCTCCCCTGACAGTGACCTCCACCAGCACCTTAAGTACTCACACCCTGCATTCACAATGGGGCACAGTGGCAGCAGTGTGTGCCATCTACAAGACGCACTGCAGAAACTCATAGATAGATAGGGTCAACAGATAAACCTCTCCCCTTTGTACAGGGGTCAATTACCGGGGGCATAGACTTAAAGTAAGGATTAGAGGGGATTTAAGGAGAATTTTTTTCACCCGAAGCTTGGTGGATATTTGGAACTCACTGCTTGAAAGGGCGGTAGAGGCAGAAACCATCACAACATTTAAGAAGCATTTTGATGATCATTAGAAACACCATAGCGTATAGGGCTACGGGCCAAGTGCTGAGGAATAGGATGACAATACATAGGAGCTTGATGATTGGCAGTGAATTGATGGACTGAAGGGTCTCTAATACTCGATGACTCTCTAACATAGGTCTTCTTTGAGAATGCCTTCCAAACCCACAACCTTTACTCCCTAAAAGGGCAAGGGCAGCAGATACATGGGAACACCACCCCCTGCAAGCTCCTCTCCAAGCCACTCACCACCCTGACTTGGAAATGTATCATCGTTCCTTCTCTGTCGCTGGGTCAAATTCTTGGAATTCCCTCTGTAACAGGTGACTGTACCCGCACCACATGGACTGCAGCGGTTCAAGAATTCAGGCCGTCACTTCCTTCTCAAGGGCAATCAGGAGTGAGCAATGAATGCTGACCACACTAACAAGGCCAACATTGACAAAAGTCAACATTTAAAAATGAATGGCTTGATTGGTAACTCCACAAACTGCAATGGTCTTGTGCCAAGTGAGAGCCTTGTAAAGAAGGCCCTAGTTAGATACCCGGGTCTGACTCAGGTTGGCTGGTTGGCATGGGAGCAGCAGTTGGACTACTTTCATTGGCTTCAGTGCCCATAATGAGCTGGCATCGGCTGGAATCCTTCTAATCATTACCTGATGGTCTGCTCTGGGAATTGTAGTCTCCCGGTGGACTGTAACCACAGTTTCACATTATGGTAGACCTAACAGGTCTGGTAGAGACAGTGGTGTAGTGGTAACACTACTGGATCAGAAATCCTAATGCTCTGGGCCATGGGTTCAAATTCCACCATCTACATTGGATGGAGTTCAAATTCAATTAATAAGTGTAGAATTGAAAGCTCTCTCAGCAATGGACAGTATTTGATTTATTATTGTCACACGTACCGAGATAACGGTGAAAAGTATTGTTTTGCGTGCTAAATCACACCTTACACAAGTACATCAGGGTAATAGAACAGAATGCAGAATATAGTGTTACAGCTACAGAGAAGACGCAGAGAAAGATCAACTCTAATATATGAGAGGTCCATTCATAAATCTGATAACAGCGGGGAAGAAGTTGTTGAATCTGTTGGTACTTGTTTTCAAACTTTTGTATCTTCTGCCCGATGGAAGATGGTGGAAAAGATGGCACACAAAACAATACTTTTCACCGTTATCTCGGTAAGTGTGACAATAATAAATCAAATACTGTCCATTGCTGAGAGAGCTTTCAATTCTACACTTATTAATTGAATTTGAACTCCATCCAATGTAGATGGTGGAATTTGAACCCATGGCCCAGAGCATTAGGATTTCTAATCCAGTAATGTTACCACTACACCACTGTCCACACCAGACCTGTTAGGTCTACCATAATGTGAAACTGTGGTTACAGTCCCCCGGGAGACCACAATTCCCAGAGCAGACCATCAGGTAATGATTAGAAGGATTCCAGCTGATGCCAGCTCACTATGGGCACTGAAGCCAATGAAAGTAGTCCAACTGCTGCTCCCATGCAGCAGAGTATAACCAGGGTGGGAGGGGTCTTTGATGATGTTGGTTGCTTTTCTGAGGCAGTGGGAAGTATAGACAGAGTCAATGGAAGGAAGGCTGGTTTGTGAGATGGACTGGACTGCATTCACAACTCTCTGTAATTTCTTGCGGTCTGGTGAATGATTTTGAAGCAGGGAAGGAAATCTGCTCGTTCTTACTTGTCTCACCCATTCTGGTCACTGTAGACACACAGGAATGTGGCTAACTTACTAGCCCTCTGATTGTCTCCCCTCTCCCCAACACCGCACACCCCCCACACTCCCACCCCCACCTAACCCCCACACTGCTGGTTCATTGCTGGGATCACACGCCCTGTAAGGGGCTGCTGTCATGGAAATTTTCCCAAGATCCTCTTGGCTTAGTGTAAATTGGAGGCAATGCTGCACCTAACAGGAAGAGCAGGGAGTTGGGGGTGCAGGGTTCAGAGGGGAGTAATCGGCACAAAACAGGAATTGTAAAAAGCCATTTCCTTACCATCTCGAGGGGTGTGAACAGGAAGTGGATTAGTTCAGTTGCACTGGGTTTGACAATGTGGTTCTTTACTCGAGCCTGAAAATAACACAATCATTGTGGTCAATCTCGGGGTTAGGCTCGATTCATCCACTTAAATATTCATTACCTCGCTTGTTATAAATCTGCTGTCAAAAACAGTATAAAGCTCTCTCTACTCATTTAAACTGAAAGTAAAGCTCTCATGACACTGTCCCCAACAAGCACTCCCAGGATAGAGACAGCATGGCGTTAAATACAGAGTAAAGCTTCTTCTATGCCGTCCCCATCAAGCACGCCCAGGACAGGGACAGCACGGGGTTAGATACAGAGTAAAGCTTCTTCTATGCCGTCCCCATCAAGCACGCCCAGGACAGG